AGGCATGTGAATACCCAAACAAAAACCTAAAGGAAAGAAACAACAACTGATCGACATGGGAAGAAATCAGCGAAGGAACTCAGGAAATATGAAGAACCAAATGGAAAACACACCCCCAAAGAAGAGCACCAGTCCCCTAGAAATGGACACCAACCCAAATCAGGCAACCAAAATGGCAGAAGAGGAATTTTGTATGTGGATCATAAGAACACTCACCGACCTACAACAACTCAATAATCAACACAAAGAAACCACAAAAAGCCTCCAGGACCTACAACAAAAGTTCACTAAAGAAATAGAAACAATGAAGAAAAGTTAAAGCAAACTCCTGGAAATGAAGATGAATTCAGGGATAAAAATTCAGTGGCAGTCTCAAGAACAGGGTAGATCAAACGAAGAAAGAATCTCAAAGATGAAGATAATACCCTCCAACTAAATAAACCCACAGAGATAGAGCAGAGAAACAAGAAAAGAGCAAAGCCTACAAGAGATGTGGGATTATGTGAAGAACCTAATGTGGAGGGTCATAGGGTTACAAGAAGGGGAAGAGGACAACCCCAAGGGTTGACAAGCTATTTGAAGATATAATAAGAGGAAATTTCCAGGCCTTGCTCAAATCTCGATATGCAAGTTCAAGAAGCTCAGAGGACCCCTGGAGATTCAATGCAAACAGGAAACGTCACGACATGCAGTCATCAGACTGACCAAAATATCAACTAAAGAGGCCCTTCTAAGAGCTGTAAGACGAAAGAAGCAAGTGACATACAAGGGAAAGCAATTTGAATAACACCAGACTTCTCTACTGAGACTCTACAAGCAAGGAGAGACTGGGCCCCATTCTCACTCTTCTGAAACAAAACATGCCCAGCCTAGAATCTTATTCCTGCAAACTAAGCTTTGTATATGAAGGAGAAATAAAGACATTCTCAGACAAGCAAAGGCTCAGAGAATTCACCAAGACAAGACCAGCCCTACAAGAAGTACTCAAAACAGTGTTATGCATGAAACACCATAATAAAAACTCACAAATATAAAAATAACCAAAACCCAAAGATTAAAGGCCAGATAATACAATGGCTCAAGAGAGAAATCAAAGCAACAACATCCAACCCAACAGAATGAACAGTAATCTACCTTACCTATCAGTTCTCTCAATAAATGTGAATGGCTTAAACTCTCCACTCAAGAGACATAGACTGGCTGAATGGATAAGAAAATACAGGCCAAGTCTATGCTGTCTTCAGGAAACACATCTAATCTGCAAGGATGCATGTAGACTAAAAGTAAAAGGGTAGAGATCAGTATTCTAGGCAAGTGGAAGCCAAAACAAGGCTGGCATGGCAGTTCTAATTTCAGACGATTTAGTTTATAACCAACAAAAGTAGTGAAAGACAAAGAGGTCATTATATAATGGTGAAGGCACACTTCAACAAGAAGAGATAACAATTTTAAATATATATGCACCCAACTAGGTGCACCCAGTTTCAAAGCAAACCTTACTGGATCTAAGCAAATGGATTAATAGCAACTCCATATCACTGGAGATTTCAACACCCCACTGACACACAAGACAGATCCTCCAAACAGAAAATTAATAAAGAAATAATGGACTTAAACAAAACCTTGTAACAACCGGGTCTGACTGACATCTACAGGACATTCTACCCAAAATCCACTGAATATACGTTCTTCTCATCAGCTCACGGGACATTCTCTAAGATTGACCATATCCTAGGACACAAAGTAAATCTCAAGAAATTTAAAAAATAGAAATATCCATGTACCTTCTCAGATCACAGTGGAATAAAAGTAGAAATCAACCCTAACGGAAACTCACATTTCTACACAAAACGTGGAAATTTAACAACCTCCTACTAAATGATTACTTTATAAATGAAGAAATCAAGATGGAAATAAAAAAAATTCGATACTCCTACACTGCTGGTGGGACTGCAAATTAGTTCAACCTCTGGAAGCCAATATGGAGATACCTTAAAGCGATACAAGTGAATCTACCATTTGATCCAGCAATCCCATTGCTGGGCATCTACCCAAAAGATCCAATGACACTCTTCAAAAAAGACACCTGCACTTAATGTTTATAGCAGCACAATTCATAATTGCACGGCTGTGGAAACAGCCCAAGTGTCCATCCATCAAGAATGGATTAATAAAATTGGTATATGTATACCATGGAGTACTATTCAGCTCTAAGAAACAATGGTGATATAGCACATCCTATATTTTCCTGGTTAGAGCTGGAACCCGTACTATTAAGTGAAGTTTCCCAAGAATGGAAAAACAAGCACCACATATACTCACCAGCAAATTGGTATTAACTGAATAGCACCTAAGTGGTCACATGGGTACTACAGTTATAGGGTATTGGGCAGGGGAGGGGTGGTATATACATATATAATGAGTGAGATGTGCACCATCTGGAGGATGGTCATACTGGAGACTCAGATTTGTGGGGGGAGGGGGGGAAATGGGCATGTATTGAAACCTTAAAATCTGTACCCCCATAATATGCCGAAATAAAAAAAAAGAAAAAAAATTTTTAACAAAAAGTCAAAAAAAAAAAAGAAAAATAAAATAAAATACTGAGAGCAGATATTTGTTAAATTTGGCTGTTTAGGCCCAGCGCAGTGGCTCACGCCTGTAAACCTAGCACTCTGGGAGGCCGAGGCATTCGGATCTGCTCAAGGTCAGGAGTTCGAGACTAGCCTGAGCAAGAGCAAGACCCTGTCTTTACTAAAAATAGAAATAAATTAATTGGCCAACTAAAAATACACAGAAAAAATTAGCCAGGCGTGGTTGCACGTGCCTGTAGTCCCAGCTACTCGGGAGGCTGAAGCAGAAGGATTGCTTGAGCCCAGGAGTTTGAGGTTGCTGTGAGCTAGGCTGATGCCAAGGCACTCTAGCTGGGGCAACAGAGTAAGACTGTCTCAAAAAAATTTTTTGGCTGTTTAATGGTTTTATTGGTCTATAATTGACATAAAAATCCAATGTTCCTATCTAAAGTGAACAATTTCATAAGATTTGTCACTGTGAAGATTGTGAAGCTATCACTACACTCAACACAACGAACTTATCTGTATCATCCCAAAATTTCTCATATCTCTTTGTAATCCTACTCTAACACACTTCTCACATCCCACCCCTATTTCCAGGCAACTCTACTGTCATTATGGGTTAGTTTATGTATTTTATAATTTATAGAAATGGAATAATATATACTCTATCTTCTTTTACTCGGCATAATTTTTTTGAGATTCTTCCATGGTGTTATATGGATCAATGGTCCACTGCCTTTTTTTTTTCTTTTTACTTTTATAATTTTATTGACTTTTTTTCTCTTCATAACTTCAAAATAAAAACAGCACATGAAAACCAGTGTATTATCCTGACTCAAAATAGCTGATTGCCTCAGAAAGGCCAGAACATCATCTTACTCCTCTGAATAAACACTGTAAAGACTCCAACTACATAGCAAGTTCAAGTTTCTACCCATACCAACACATAGCCAATAATCAAACCCTTGCTGCCACCTTTAGGGGCTCTGGGTCTCCACCTGTCTTATCTCTCAGCTGCTCTTCTGGTGCTAAGACTGGGTCTTCCTGATGGGTCTATTTCAGGGTTGGGTCAAGGCTGAGCTGGAGGGAGAAGCACAGTCTGGATCCACAGTCACCTCCCTCTGGCCACCAGTTGGCCAGCCAGTAAATCATTTCCACACAGTCTTTTGTCTCCACTGTTCGTCTCCTTCTCCCTTCCCTAAGACTTATTGCTATCAATTTCACATAACAAAGTGGATTCAGTGTCCATTAAACTGTCGGAGAAGTGGTTTGAGTTTGAGCCTGACATATTTTCCTGAGCTAAAAAAGAAAACAAAGTACCTCTATGGCCTTCCTGCCATTAAGATCAAGTAAAAAAGGGAAAAGCACTACTGAGAAGGGCAGCATTAGAAAAGCAGTACACTGTCCTCCTCACCTCCATGAAGGCTGCCCTAGCTCTAACTCTTGAGGGTACAACAAGGCACTACAACAAGGAGGTATAATGGGGAGAAATGTTTATTTTCCCCTTTTGAACTTTCCTGCTGTTCCCGTCTTTGCCTTCTTCTTAGCGGATCCCTTGGGTTCTGGCTCCTTGCGCTTAGCCGAAGACAGTGAGCCAGTCACCTTGAAGAAATCATCCAGGCGCCCCTGGGTGCTGCCTTGGGGCAGCCGCTTGACCCCACTGCGGATTCGCTCCTCAGAGAACTACCTTTCACCACACATGAACTTGACCAGCTCTTCTTCATTCGTCTCACTCCACTTCAGCTCCACAGACTCTGGGTCCAGCACTTCGGGTTCCAGGAAGAGCCGCTGGGCTTCCTTGTGGAGCCAATTTTCCAGCACAGGGTACTTGTTGGGGTCGAGCCGCCTTACGATCTCCTCGATGCTCTTGTGCTTCTAGATGAGGTCCACAGCCCGCTTGGGCCCGATGCCCCAGATACTCTCATAGTAGTCACTACCCAGCAAGATGCACAGATCCACAAACTGCTCCTGGCTCAGGCCCAGCTGCTGCAGAATCCGGCTCAAGTGGAATTCCTGGATGGGCAGCTTCTTGGCCTCACTGGCAGTCAGGTGTCGCATCAGCACAGGGCTGCCGAAGGTGAGGCAGTCCATGTCCTCGGTGGCCGCAGCGTAGACTTTGCCGGCCTTCACCAGGGCAGCACAGCTGGCCTCTGCCTCACTGGGCGCGTCGAGGTAGGGGATGCTCATGAGGCTCAGTAGATGTTTGCACTCATCGTTGTGCTGCTTGGTGACCTTCACCAGACGCTTGGTGAATTTTTCCACCTCCTCCTCGGCCCCAGCAGCCTGAGCCTGCTGCAGCTGCTTCTCTGCCTCAGCCCGCCGCTCACTGCGTTTGGCCAGCTCGCCTGACTTGAGCTGTGGTGGTTTGCCGTCAAAGACATACACCGGCTTGATGCCATTCTTCATCATGTGTATGGTGCGATAGAACATGCCCATCAGGTGGCTAGTGGTCTCACCCTCCTCGTTCTGCAGCACATCCCCGCCCTGGCCTTTGGGGCACAACGCTTTGGCAGCTTGAGCTTGGTCCGGTGTTGTCCAGGACACTCCTAAAGTTGGCTCCCTTCTCCGCTTGGTAGCGGGTTGGCTCTTGCTCCTGGTCCACTGCTTTTTATTGCTGAGTAGTACTATTCCATTATACAGATATAAAACAATTTGTTCATCCATTTATTTATTGATGTACGTTTCAGTACAAGTTGAAGGCTGTTATGATCATAAAGCTGCTATGATAATGTGTGTACAAGTATTTGTATAGACATGTGCTTTCATTTCTTTTAGCTAAATCACCCGGAAATAGAATGGCTGCATCACATGGTAGGTGTATATTTGACTTACTAAGAAACTGCCAGATTGTTTTCCATAGTAATTACACCTTTTTATATGCCCACAAATAGTCCATGGAATTCCAGTTGCTCCACATCCTTGTAAACCCCACTCTAATAGATATGTGTGGTAACCTATTGTGATTTATTTTTTTTTTTTTTTTTTGAGACAGAGTCTCGCTTTGTTGTCCAGGCTAGAGTGAGTGCCGTGGCGTCAGCCTAGCTCACAGCAACCTCAAACTCCTGGGCTTGAGTGATCCTTCTGCCTCAGCCTCCCGAGTACCTGGGACTACAGGCATGCGCCACCATGCCCGGCTAATTTTTTATATATATCAGTTGGCCAATTAATTTCTTTCTATTTATAGTAGAGATGGGGTCTCGCTCTTGCTCAGGCTGGTTTTGAACTCCTGACCTTGAGCAATCCGCCCGCCTCGGCCTCCCAAGAGCTAGGATTACAGGCGTGAGCCACAGCGCCCGGCCACCTATTGTGATTTAAATTTGCATATACCTAATGTTTAATGATGCTGAGCATGTTATCATGTGCCTATTTGCCCTTCACATATTTTTTTTTTTTTGCTTAAGTGTCTGCTCAAATCTTTTGCCCATCATTATTTAGTTGTTTCTTTTTGGGTGTTGAGTTTTGAGGGTTTATATACTTTATTCACTTCAACTCCTTTATCAGATACATGCTTTGCAAATGCTTTTCCCAGTCTATACTTCACCTATTAACTCTACTGACAGAGGTTTTCCAAAGGCAGTTTTTAATTTTTGTGAAGTCCAATTTATCAATTTTTTATGAGTCATGTTTTACTATCATATCTAAGAAATACCTGCATAGGTCAAGATCACAAAGATTTTTCTCCTGGCTTTTTGCTTTTTCTAGAAGTGTTATAGTTTTGGTTTTATATTTATGTTTCTGATTAACAATTAACTAAGGTTTTGGTGTGAAGTGCGGAACCAAAGTTGACTTTTTGCATACGCATATACAATTATTTCAGCACGGTTTGTAGAAAAGGACTAGCCTTCTCCATTGGATTCTTTGCAACTTGTCTAAAATTAGTTGCCCCCATATAAGAATGGATTTATCTCTAAGACTCTCTATACTTTACATTAATCATTTGTCTACTCTATACAATGATACACTGTCTTAATTCTGTGAAAAATGGCTTGAAGTCAGGTAATGTTATCTCCTCCAAAATGTCTTTTCTAAAGTTGTTTTGACTACTCTAGATCTTTACATTCCATAGAATTTAGAATCAACTTGCTAATTTAACAAAAAATCTGATTAGGAATTTTATTAATAGGCATTGAATCTATAGGCTAATTGGAGAGAGAATTGACATCTACAAATATTGAGTGTCAATCAGAACATAGTTTATCTCTCGTTTATTTAGGTCTTAATTCTGTTAGCACAATTTTATAGCTTTAGTAACCAGGTCTTGCATATTTGTAAGATTATCCCTATGATATATTATATGATACTATTATAAATGGTATTTATTTTTAATTTTAATTTCTGATTGTTCTTGTGACATATAAAAATACAACTGATTTTTGTAGTTATCCTTTACCCTGCAACTGTTAAACATACATTATGCTGGTAGCTTTTTTACAGACTCTCTTGGATTTTCACTTTGACAGTTATGCTTTCAGCACATAAACATAGGTTCATATTTGCTTTCCAAGCTGTAAGCCTTTTATTCTTTCTCTTGACTTATACCACTAGATACGACCCTCTAGAATAATATTCAATAGAAGTGGTGAAGCAATAATTTTTCCTTATATCTGAACCAAGTATGACATGGTGTGGGCTTTATTGTAAGTGTCCTTTATCAAGTTGAGGAAGTTCCTTCAATTCTTCATTCTCCAGAGAGTTTTTAATTAGGAGAGGATGCTGTATTTCATCTA